AGATTAGAGATATTTGAGGTAGAAATTTAATGTTTACTCCTATTTAAGTAGGGTGCTTCTATAGTACCTTTATAAATTGGAAGGTACGGAACAACTGTTTACATGGACAAATGATGTTGTGGCACGTGGATATCCATTAAACGTATTTCATATATTTTTAATATGGTATGGAATCAAATTTTAGTGAATTGCACTTGTGGTCCTTCCCTTAGCCATTTCTAATTGACGGAGGGAGCATAATAGGTTTAGTTTCTTCTTCGCAAGCTCTGAACAGAGCACCTGATAGGTCGCCGCTGCTGGATTTAGAAAATCGGGGATAGCGCCTCAACAGTCCGCGGCGGAGAGGTGGTAGTGGTGGGACACGACGCGTCACCGCTGCTGGTTCAAAAAAATTGGGGATAGCGCCACAACAGTTGGCATGGGAGAGGAGCTACTGGAGGGACGGGACTGGTTGTCGCTGCTGGTTTGAAAATTTTTGGGGATAGCACCGCAACAATCGGGTGCGGAGAGGTAAATTTGGATAGGAACCACTTTTTTGGACCCAATCCAAGTGAGAGAGTTCATGGAGCACCAATCTGCAAATTTCCATGGTGATATAGTTCCATCTCATCAATAGAAATTGTAATCATTTCTGTCAGGATATATGCTAGCCAGAATAGGGTCATTATGCAACTACGTACTGCCAGAATCCCTTAAAAGCATTGGGTGTGCAGCAGAAGAGTGAGAATTTTAAGGGCAGTGACTATGAGAAGAGGAAACTCAGAAGCTTTTTTGGCTGCTTGTCATCTATCTCAATGCGTAGAAGAGATAAAGAAGTGCCATTGTTCTTGCAAGTTTGAGGGGGAATATTAGGAATATATCTGGTTGTAAACATTTTACCTAACTAACTACATATTGTTTGTATTGCTACATGTGTTAGTTAAGTAGTTAGCAGCATCTTCAGCTTCTATAAATACGTTGTAATGTGTCACAGACTCACAGTGACAATCTAATTCACTAACCTGAATTTCCTTCTTCATTTCTCTCTCTATTCTGTTTATCAATAAGGAGCAACACGCTTCATATTTTAAAAATGTTTAAATGATCATTAGTAAGTGTAGAAGCTGTGTTTGAAACTTATAATTCCTCACTCGTCCCAGGTTGCATGAAGTTTGAATTTGGTGTTTTTACCTTTAGCACTAACCGGATGGCTCTGTTTTAGGTCTGTGAGAAAACTTATATTGAGAAATACATTGAATTTTTGTTATGCTAACATAGGTTAAGGGGATAAAATAAACTAAAACTGTTTATTTGTACATGTTAGTGCAAACACATGTTAATAGTTTCTTATAAACTGGACTTATTTACTTTTGTTCATTGATATAGGCTGTTTTGTGGCAGAATGCTTATTTACTTGAGTATGTATTGCTTGTTTTGGCACATGCCTTTGGCTGAATCTCTTGAACTGGTGTAAAGACACTTTTTTGGCGTAAAGACACTTTTTTTATTCATTATTTCATTAAATAGCATTATTTGTTAGAAACTGGTTGAAAAAATTTCATTCTTTCGTTCCAATGCCTTTGTGGTGTGAAGACATTTTTTTTAAATATCATTATTTGGCCAGAATTTCCAATTAGTTTTGTCAGGGATTATATGATTGTATGCATTGTTAGTTATTATAGATACTTGCTAGTTAGCTCTTTAACAAGGAAGAAAAATTGCCAGAAATCGTCCAATTATAAAAGAAATGCAATCGTCCAATCATATAAAAATGCTTATCACCGATCACCTTGTAAGTTGTAAGGATAACCCGCTGAAATGCAATGACTTCTCAAGATAATTTGTGATTATATGTATGCTTGGTGTATAAGAATGGAGGGAACTAAACAAGCAAGAAAGAATAAATAAACTCAAAGAGACATGTCTACTCCCAGTAAACATATAAACCATGCTCCATAACTGATTGCAAGGCAAAGACCGGTGAATATAGGCTCTTGGAGTTTTCACCAAAGCACTAGAATTGGAGTTATCAGAGATGCTCAGGGACAAATGGCAGTTGCAGAATGAAGATGAGAATAAATGAACAAGGAGTAAAACAAAACAAAAATGCTGATGAGAACATTACCGTAGTTTAAAAGAAAATATAATGGTGTACTAATTGTTTTATTATACAATTAGATGGAGAATAATGACACTAGAGTTTAGTCTAGTAATTAGGTGATCGTTAAAGTGATCAGGTGACATGTAATTATGGCAATTCTCCTGAAATTGCAGCAGGTATTCATTATAATGTAAGTCCTAGAGTAGTTATGTCAAACTTTTCCCCATAGGTGATATACCTTCAATTTTTCTATTATAATGAATATATCTTCCTTTGATGGTTTCTTCACTTGTTTTAAGCAATGCTGAGAAGGAAAAAAAACTGGTTATTACTTTATGCAGGTAGTGAACTATTGTTGGACTGCCATGGTTGAAAATTTCTACTGTTGTACTTTGTTGTTTGCTCTTTATTTGTTTCCTAAGAGACAGTCCATTGTCCGTCTTTGTAAAATGTGTGGCCCGCCCAAAGCTCTTTGGTAGTCAGTAGCTAGTGCAAATAAGCTTTTACTGCTTTGTACAAATGGAACTATATAAAAAATCTCTAGTGAAGGATATTTCAAACATGAGGAATAAACATCTCGAGCTTAAATTTGTCACTGAGGAATTAACCTTTTGTCTTAGGGAACTGAATATATATACTATGGTGTTGAGAGGTAAGGACAAATCACCTATTAAACTCATATTGAACTACTATTGAACTGTCATAGTTGTTTTTTTTTTGCAAACCAAACAACAACATATTATTTAAAAAATTAAACTCCAATTCCGAGCACCCTTCTTTCCGCGCTGCTACATCCGGTAGCAGCAGCTAGAGGGAACACCATTGCTCCTACCCTATCTCCATTGGAAAAAAGCTTGGAGGAAGTTCATGGGTGACTGCAGTTAAAAATGCCTTCAGGTCTCCAGTCAAGGAAATTAGCAACATTGACTCAAAGATTAGCAGGAGGAGAGATCAACATAAACACGAAGAAGATGAAGAAAAGCAAAAGAGAGAAAAGAGGAGAAAATGGTTGTTTAGGAAACCCCATACTCACTAATAAACTGAAGTCGTAACTGGTAATAAAGAGTCAACTCATGCCATTATTAATCGTCGCTACACCAGGCCTTCATCTCCGCTTCCTTTGCTGCCAGACTACCTATCCATGGCTTTGCCGCTGCTACAATGATAGGAAAAAATACCTCCATAATATGGCCGCTTGTAAACACAAGAGGTGAGGAGTAGACAACTACGACAGCACACCTCCGGGTCAAGTTTTAAAAGTGGAAAACTGCCTGCTATTACTCTGCTGCAAAAAGTAAAAGGCACCAGAAGTAAGCAATCATCAGATAAGAACTATCCACTTAAGACTAAAATACACAAAAATATATTTATAGTGTAGTGACTAATGGGTATTGCAGCTAAGTTAATCATTTTAGTTTTAGTTCGTCATTGCAGTGAACTGAGTAGCAATCCATGTATGACAAGTCCAACAAAATGAGAATCATAATAGGGGATTTAAGTAATACGATAGTATATGGAATCAAAGACAACTTTGACAATTCAAATCTTATATTTTCCATAATGATAAAGATTAATAATAGCAAAGATCTGCCTGAAGATTACAAAATGAAGTGAAAAAATACTCAAACTGCAAAGATAAAGATCAACAATAGCAAAGGTATGCCTATTCATTTGCAACTTTTGCTACAGATATACTAAAAAAATCCCATGGGTTATGCAATTCAGGTCCTCCACATCCGATAACATAAATGAATAAGGCTAGTAATATAAAGTTCTCATTTCAGTTCATGGTTGTAATGTTTTGATTCCGGTCCAACGCCATTTCTATTTTTCAAACCTCATTCTTAGCTAATCATCAGAATTGAGTTTAAAACTTGTGTTCGTGATAAATTTTCACATTTAGCTAATAATAAGAGTTGATGAAACAAGAGCATACCACTGAAATATAATTGATAAAATATGATCTGAAAAAATGGGGCAAGGAAAATTGAAAGAATGGACTACTATTGTGAATTTGTGATGCAATTTGTTCTGCTTAGAGGCTAGGTTTTCATCTAAGGAATTGATAATTGATGATACACGAGAATCAAATGTAATCTAATCCTACTGCTACATTAGTAGCCCTAATGAAAATTGATGAGAATTGAAATTGAAAATTTGAGCATCCATAGATAGGAAAAATTACCTCCATAATATGGCCGCCAGTAAACACAGGACGAGACAACTACGAAGGCACACCTCCTGGTCAGGCAAACTTCAGCGGGGCTAGCAAAATACAAGAAAAATACCTTGATTTGCGTTCGTTTGCAGCACAGCAGGGTCGTTTCTCCAGACGTTGCTTCTTCTTCGTGAGTTTGTTGCCTGCGGTTCCAGCAGTGTCGTTTCTCCAGAGGTTGCTTCTTCTTCCTGAGTTTGTTGCCTGCGATTTTCTACTGTTAAATGGTTTCCTTGTTTTCGTGTTTCCTCCGTCTACCGTTAAATCCTCCGTCTAGTTGCAGCGTGAAAACAAGGACCAAATGGCAAATAATAGCCTTCTGTCTACTTGTTTTAATAATCCATATGTCAGACTCCTATTGGCCCAACAAAGTAGATGTACGGTACGTACACTCTTAATTTTAAGAGGTATCGTAGAAATTTCCATTTAATTATGGATCGGAAGATTAGGAGTTAATGGAAAAGTGTTGTGGTTTACTACTATTTAAGTCAATTACTTTATTCTTATATATTTTGTTATTATACAATTATGCATGTGTGATCTTGTGGTCTATCCCATGCATTCTGTTTTTAAATTACTGGCTGACAATGAAAGAGAGTTGTAACCTCAAAACACTACCAACCGTTGGTGAATGTGAGGTTGAATGGCTTGAAAAGTGGTGTACTATAAAAGTCCCAGGCTGTCGTATTTGCATGCATAAGCCATCAGGTTTTCAACAGTTTTTCTGCCCCATTCTTCTTAACCTAAATAAATAAAGAAGAATAAAAAACTGTCTCGACAGATATAATAAACACACATATGTGAACAGGCCATTTATATATATAACTATAATAATAATGGAGATCAAAGCTGCTGCTTGTATTTTAGTCCTAATAAGCATTGCTTTGCTCTCCTCCAGAGTGGAATGTATCCCTCGACGTGGCCTTACTGAGACGGTTTATGATATTACTAACTATGGGGCTAAACCTAATGGTCAAGCAGATAGCGCGATGGTATGGTATATATATACGTAATATACTATCGTATGTTAATGTGCATTCATGCATGCATGTACATGCGTGAAAAATACTGTATATTATGGGGTGCCGTGTCACAATCAACTTGAAAAATACTGTTAATTTTTAAGCCTAGTATAATTACATTTCATCCCGGTAGACTCTTTCGATGGCCCAGTCTGCAATAGCATGCATATGGTGGGGCTTGGGTTAGGGTGTAGGCCCGCTCATCAGCCCGATAAGCCGACCCGCTACATTTAGTATATACTACGTATATAATAGGCTTCAGAATTAACGGGTGAGCTAATTTCTATTTGCATTACATTTGATTGATTCAAATCATTATCTCATCATTTATTAATATTTAAATTGTTCAATCGTAATATTTAAATTAATTGGTCCTGTAGTACATCTTGTGGGTACCGTAGAATTTGTCTTCATAAAATACTTTAATGAGCATGTAGATGCATAAATTACTATGACTAAATATACAACGATTTGGGTAAATTAAAAGAGAAAATTCTCTAAAATTAAGAGAAAATAAACAAAGTAGTATATAGGAGTGCCATTGTTTTCTTCATAATATAGGACGTATTCACTCCTAATAGGAGAAGTTTTATACTTTTAGTAGAATCAAATAATTAAGTCGTATTTGAATAATACATGTAGTCTTATTTGTGCATTTTGTCTAAGTTTTAGTCGAGCAATTTCTAATTTTTAATAATGCATGATTGGATGTGGGGTGTTGGCATGCTACAGGCAATGATCCGAGCATGGAACGCGGCATGCAAATCGACAGAGGCGGCGAGGGTAGTGATTCCCAAGGGAACATTCAAAGCCGGAGAGGTGATTTTCCAAGGGCCGTGCACCGCCCCAAGCCCCATCGTCATTGAAATCCAGGGCACGGTTGAGGCTAGCACCGACTTGAGTGACTTCTCTTCCAACTACTGGTTCGAGGTTGAACACGTTCAAGGAGTTGAAGTCACCGGCGGCGGAACCCTCAACGGTCGTGGTGAGGAGGTCTGGCGATTTGCCGATTCAGGCGAAAAAATTAAGAACGCCCCTCTTCTTCCCGTGGTGAGTAATATCATTATATTTCCATCATTCTTGTTAAAGTAGTTGTCACACACAGGAAAGCTGTAACACAATAAGACACTATACAAGATTTTTGACTACTCCTATCGGATTGGCCTTTTAGGATGGAACCTCAGTCTTAACATGGTATCAGAGTCAAACCCAATTGTGGTTTGACTGCTTGTTTAGCACTCATGACATGATTAAGGGTAGCTTGTTAAGAATATGTTTGACCCATTTGTACACCCTGATAATGTTCAGGTCGATTCGGGTTGAGGGAGCATGTTAAAGTGTTTGTCTCACATCGAAAAGCTATAGAACAACAAAACATTATATAAGACTTTGTGTACTCTTCATATACATTGACTCATGCCTATGGGAAAAGGACTAAGAAGTTTTATTCAAACTACTTCTTTTAGCAGGACTAAATAAGCCTTCTTACTTTAGAGTATAAAACTTGTTTAGTCTTATTTTGAAAATTTATCTATATTTTGCTGTTAAGAATTTCTATATTTAATCACACATACCTACTTTTAATCAATTATTATTACATGGTATCCATGCATGCAGTCTTTGATCTTCCAAGGTGTGAACAATTCAGCCCTTCACGATCTGAACTTTGTGAACAGCAAAGGGTTCCACATAAAGGTGTCCGACTGCTCAGAGATCAGCGTCTCGAATCTGCAGATAACAGCGCCTGGATACAGCCCAAACACCGACGGCATCCACATCAGTGGCTCTACCAACGTCAACGTCACCGAGCTCACAATCGGAACCGGCGATGATTGTGTTTCCATAGGCGATGGCAACACCAATCTTCTCGTTACGAAGGTCACTTGTGGTCCTGGACATGGCCTCAGGTACATCATCACTCCATCTTACCAGCTCTTCTCATTCATATTATATATACTTCAATCATGCTTCCTCCCAAGGCGAAGCCAGGGCACTGAGCCATTACAAAAAGAAATTTTGGAAAACATTTTACATGAAACTTTTTACCTTAAAATTAAAGAATTTTTAAATTTGGAGTGAGTCGGGGCCTAGATTGGCCCCTAGATCCACGGCACATGCTTCTTTCTTGTTTAGTTTCACATTTTGGTCTTTTGGATCTAATAAAACTAATTTAATTTAATTCAGTAAATATTATGAAAACTTAATTTTTTTATAACATGACATCATGGAATTCATAACATGACGTCACATTAATGTTTGATACTCCCTCCGTCCCCATTTACTTAGCCAAATTTGACTTTTCAAGTCAATGACATCTAACTTTGACCGATTATATGTTTATATAGAGAAAGTATTGATAATATGAAAATGTTCTTTGTTAAAAACACTATCATAAAAGTATAAAATTATTAAATTTTGCATAAATGTATTAGCTTAAATAGTTGGTCAAAGTTAGAGGCCGTTGACTTGAAAAGTCAAGTTTGGCTAAGTAAATTGGGACGAAGATAATATATGCTTTGGCCGTATGATTTCAGAATAATAATAATTTACTCCTATTTAGAGAATTGAACATGGTGATCTTTTCTCAAAATTTGGCATAATATACTTCTACCTGGCCTGTATTTTGGGAAACTCCTCTTCCATTGAAAGAATTAACCAAACTAATATTGAAGTATTCATATTTTGGGAAGAAAATGACACTTCTATGCTATGGTAAATACTTTAATTTAGAAAACTTTCCACCTGTTCGGTAAATACTTTAATTAATTAAATAAAATATTTTGAAATGGTTTATTGTTATTGTGCATATGTATCAAGTGTTGGAAGCCTGGGAAAGAGGCCGGATGAAGATAGCGTGAACGGAGTAACGGTGAGAAACTGCACTTTGATTGGGACGACAAATGGCGCGAGAATCAAGACTTACCGCGCTTCCCCAAAGCTGGAGGCTACCGGTATCACCTTCGAGGATATCATCATGCAAAATGTCTCTAATCCCGTCATTATCGATCAAGACTACAGCTCCAAAGACCGAATTGAGGTCATTCATTAAGTACTCTGATCTTGTTCAGGAAATAAAATAGAGCAATTTCTTTCTCTCTTTTTTCCCGATGCCTGCTTTTGAGGCACGTATAGTAATAACATAGAGATGAATTGCATGCATGCAGCCATCGAACGTGAAGCTGAGTGACGTCCATTTTCGGAACATAAGAGGGACGGCGGCGATAAAGAACCCGGCGATCGCGCTGACGTGCAGCCAAGCGTTTCCTTGTGAAGGCGTGGAGTTGGAGGACATTGACATTGCGCCGGTGGAAGGCGCCGGCGGCGATCTCAAGCCCAGCTCCTGCCTCAACGCCAAAACAGTTTTGAAGGGGAAACAAAACCCAGCTGCCTGCTAGCTAAGCTAGCTCATTCATCAATACTCCAGCTACGCTATGCATGCCAGCTAGCTAGCTCACCGCACTGCCAATTTACTATACGTACCAACCAACGTTGTATATATACACACATGCATATACATACATACATACATATATATATATATATATATATATATATATATATATATATATATATATATATATATATATATATATATATATATATATATATATATATATAGACACAATTAATTATTGCTCTAGCTTACCTTGCGTCTAACCGCGACTAACCACCAATCTGATCTGTGTGTATGTATCGTCCAATATCTATATCGACCTAATTATTAACATGCGTACTATATATACTTGTTTCCATAATTCCATTGTTTTTTACGGAGTATTTTACTTTACTTTGTACTTCCTATTAGGATGTTTTTTACTTCTTACTGAAATTTAATAGCATGGTCTGGTCTGATTTGTTTAAGTCTGGTTTGGTATGGTCTGAACTAGTTTGATCTGATCTGGTAAATGTTTGATATGTGCGCATTTTATAACCATAGAAGTTTGGTCTGATCTCGTCTGATATGGTCTGCTTAAGTGTGCTCTATTTTAACTCCAATTTGGTCTTGTTTGGGACTGAAAATAGTTCAAGTAAAAACATCCTTATTCATGAAAAACTGTGTTATTTCGTATACTAGCTTAGCTTGTTTGGCCATTGAAAATGTGGCAATAAGGCCTGACGGATAGTGTCACGCCCCGGACCTACCCGGACACGTCAACAACCCGCCGTACAGTACGAATAGTCAACCGCAGTCCGACTCATCCATACTATACAAGGCGTCTTGAATACCATTCACACATAGTACATCCATAAACAAGCATAATGTAAATCATTCATTTAAAACAGCGGAAGCATTTAATAAAGATGTCTTAGCCACACTTTGGCAAACATGGGCATACAAGCCCCCAAATAGTTATTCAAAAATAGTATCCATGAGCAATGTTATAATTGTTTTGAAAATAGGAAACAGAAGAAGCACGAACCACGTCTTCTCCCTTGGAAATCCCTGAAGCAACGGGCGTCGGTAGCAACCTTCAAGTCCTACCTGAAACTGTGAGGTGGCCTCCCCCGTGAAGGGGAGGTCAGTACTTGGAAATATTTGACAAGTACAATAGCAACTATACTAAATATAATAGGGTACTATTATATTATAGGCCATAACCCTCGGTTACCCCTTTTTTACCTTTAACTGTACTTGCTTTACATAGAGTCAAGTAGACGGCCCGTAGGCCCATATTCATTTAGAATTCACCGTTCCCATTCCCCCGTGACCGCGAGTCACGATAACCCCGTAGGGTCCCATCGAGCCCCAATTGTATAGCATGGGCTCGGCCCAACTACATCTCTATACAATCCTCTAACTCGATGTATCATATCAACATTTGTATGGCAAGGGCTCGGCCCAACTACGTTTCCATACCAACCATAACTTCGTGGCAAGGGCTCGGCCCAACTACGTTTCCACGGAGGTCACATATACATGGCAAGGGCTCGGCCCAACTACGTTTCCATGCTAATCATATTACATGGCATGGGCTCGGCCCAACTACATCTCCATGTCATCCTAGAGTCCAACTCTATTTATTTTCATAATCAAATTCTCAAGCAAGTCCTATGCCTAGAATCAATTTCCGGAGGTGGCCTTTAGGCCTACCACTAATCACTCCTTAGTGTTCATGTCATTCATCCTTAAGTATCTCTTGAGACTACTTAAGGTATATCTATTCACAATCCTACCTCTTAGGATTTATTTCATCATTTATTTATATTAATTTCCCGACTAGTATTTTGATACTAATTGGATAACCTTAGAACATGCCAAGTTCCTATTTCCCATATTGCATTTCATTTCCATTGATTTCTCGATCCAAGTATAGTTTAATCTAAATATCAAAAATATCACTTTAAACCATTCATGAAGTTCATTCATGAAGTAAAGGATATTTTATCACAATGTCATCTTAGTAATTCCATTGACATGCCATTCCATTCATTTCACATAATCATACACAATTATTCTAAATTTGTATGTCATGCTTCACTTACTCATATTCATATTATTTTCATTTAGACATTATTAATCTTTAATAGTCCATGAAAATCCCATCTAATTACTTTAGGCATTCTTATGAAATTAACTCACTAATTATAAGCAATATAGTCAGCCATCCTCACCTTATGATGTGCTCAACTAGCTGCCTTAGCGAAACCCCCTCGATCCGTCCTCGTTCTAGGCCGTTCAAGAGTGGAAAATCTGGAAATCAAGCGAAAGCCGGGCGGCTTTCGTGAAAGGTGGGCGGCTTTCGGGCCTGCAGCTCGAAAACAGTCCCCAACAATGGCGGTTTCCCGGCGGTTTCGACTCCTATCGATTCCACAACTTTCCCAAGTTAAATACCACCATTCTATATCAATATTCTACATTTTTAAACGTGTAGAACATCATGTTTAACCCACCATATGATTTATTATAAATCATACACAATAAACTAGTTAAAAGAACTATTTGAGTTCTTACCTTGATTTCTAGCCCTTTGGTGTGGGGATTCTTCCTTTCTTGCTCTCTCCTAGTTTCAGCTCTGTGAGGAGCTTTCCTAGAGCTCTCTCTCTTAGTGGTTGGTCGTGTGGAATGCAAGAGGATAAGGGAAATGGTTCCTCCTCAATCAAGAATGCCAATAATGCCTAGAATAGGCATTGGCATGAGGTTTTGTCTCAATGAGACTTCCTCCCCTCTTCTTGTCCGCACAAGCCACTTTGGCTTGTCCCCCCAGCTGTTGTTTAGTCAGCTAACACACCTAAAAACGTGGGGTGGCCCCCACTTAGGTGAGAGGTCATCCCGTTATGTCCCGGTGTGTACAATCGGCCCCGAAAGTTGTATTTCTCGGTCCGTTTTAATTATATTTTATTTTATCGGGTCAAATAAAATATATCACGTGTTCCCAATAATTATGGGCCTTTAGAATGGATGTACATTCCCCAACATTAATTTTGGAGCCTCCGAAACTCATTTCGGGCTGTTATCCGCTCAATCACCAATACCGGTAATTGGGCTTCGTTTGACCAACCGGTCAACTCCATGCCTTTCTTATGGCCCAAATAAAATATCCACCACCATATATATATTATCTCGACCAAGATGAATATAATATGTGGTTTGGGAATTATCGGGCGGTCCTTGTTCCCGCTGTGGGCCCCACATGCAATTTACTATTCACGTAAAGGAAATAATAAAAATTTACAATTACGCAAATTCATAAATCATCTTTCAAGGTTTATTACATAATTTACTAAAAGTAAATATGCTCGGGGTCGGTGTTACAAGTTCACCCCCCCTTAACGGGAATTTCGTCCCCGAAATTCACAATCGATTATTCAAACAGAAATGCATACTGCTCCTTCATCGAGGCTTCAGTCTCCCAAGTTTCTTCTTCAACTCGGTCACTTTTCCAAAGGATCTTAACCATTGGAACTTTCTTGCTTCTTAGCTTCTTTACTTGTCTGTCAAGTATCCTTACCGGTTGCACGACGTAGTTCAAGTCTTCCCGTATTTCCACGGGTGGTTTCTCTAGTACATGAGATGGATCCGGAATGTACCTCTTAAGCATAGACACATGAAATATATTATGTATTTTCTCCAATTCCGGAGTCAACTACAATCGGTATGCTACGGCCCCAATTCTCTCAAGAATTACAAATGGTCCTATGTAGCGTGGGTTGAGTTTCCCTCGGCTCTGAAATCGGATGATTCCTTTCCAAGGTGAAACTTTCAAAAATACCTCATCCCCAACCTTAAATTCTAAGGCTCTTCGGCGCTTATCGGCATAGCTCTTCTGTCTATCCTGTGCCGCCTTAAGTCTGTCACGGATCATCTTTACCTTTGACTTGGTGATTTCCACCAACTCCGTGCTCTCGAGTTTGGCCATGCCATCCTCGTCCCAACACAAAGGTGTACGACATCTCCTCCCATACAATGCCTCGTATGGAGGCATGCCTATACTCGCCTGATAACTGTTGTTATAGGCAAACTCCACAAGTGCCAAATGGTTGTCCCAACTCCCTTAGAACTCCAATGCACAAGCTCTCAACATATCCTCTAATATCTGTATAACCCGCTCGGATTGTCCATCCGTTTGCGGGTGAAAAGCTGTACTGAATTTCAGTTTTGTCCCCATAGATTCTTGGAACTTCGGCCCAAATCGTGATGTGAATCGCGGATCTCTATCGGATACAATGGTTATAGGAACCCCATGCAGCCTCACGATCTCATCCACATACAACTTGGCTAACCTTTCCAGTGCATAGGTGGTGTTGATAGGTAAAAAGTGTGCACTCTTCGTGAGCCTATCAACCACAACCCACACGGCGTCATAATTCTTAATCGTCCGTGGCAGCCCTACCACGAAATACATAGTCACGTGTTCCCATTTCCATTCAGGAATGGATAATGGCTGTAACAACCCAGCTGGATGCTGATGTTCTGCCTTAACTTGCTGACAAGTAAGACACCTACTGATGTACTCGGCTATTTCCCTCTTCATACCCGACCACCAGTAGCTTTCCTTCAAATCACGGTACATCTTCGTGCCTCCCGGGTGCATGGAATACGCCGATGAATGAGCCTCCTCTAAGATGGACTTTCGGAGCTCCTCATCCAACGGTACACACACTCGATCACGAAATAGTAAGAGACCATCGTCTCTCTCCCTGAAATCCTCAACCGGTCCCGCTAGCATGCGTTCTCGGACCTTCATGAGCTCCTCATCAGCTTCTTGACCCTTCTTGATCTCATCAAGTAGTGTAGGTCTCACCTCGAATCTAGCTAACAAAGCACCGTCACTAGATACCTCTAATCGGGCTCTCAATGCCCTCAAACTCGTCAACAATGCCCCAGACGAATTCTTTCGGCTCAGGGCATCCGCTACCACATTGGCCTTACCGGGGTGGTACTCGATAACTAGATGGTAGTCTTTTATCAACTCCATCCACCGTCTCTGTCTCATGTTTAACTCTTTCTGAGTAAACACGTATTTCAGGCTTTTGTGGTCAGTGTATATATGACATGTTTCCCCGTAGAGATAATGTCTCCAAA